TAATTATGATCTAGTAAACTCATCAGGTTTATATGTATGTGAGTACAGATGCATATTTCAAAAACAAATATAACATGAATTTACATAACCATGAAGCTAAATACTTGAGCTATATAATCTTTCAAGCAAACTCACATTTATTTTGCCTAAATGTCTGTAACACTGGGTATCATAATTCTTTGTGATACATAAAAGGACACCTTGAATATGCCAGTTGAAGAAAAGATGAGTCATGCTAAGTTTAACCTTAAAGAATTTGAAGGGTCCTCTTCTTATAAACACTGAGAAGCATATAAGCGGCATCTTGGTGAACAAGCCACTTTGAAATTCCAACCATTTCCAAGATGAGTGTCTATTTATAAATCCGCATGGCAGGCATGGGCATGCAGGTTAAGGGAGGTAAAAATACACTTTCCCCGGAATCATTTTAGCAAAATAGCTTCTCTATTTAAATAAGACCTCCTTCAACTTAGACATTGCTGAAAGACCTTTAGAATTATGAACTTCATATTCTTTCACCAATGAACACAAAAAATAAATCCATTAAATTAAATAAAAAAGAGGTGAATGAGGAGAGACAACATGGAGGTTAGAAATTATATAGACTTGATCATAAACTATATGAACTTGATCCTGGCTCTATTCAAGTCTCTTTTTGTATAAATGAAAAAACAAGCTACAACTCCCCCATCGCACACACACACCCCACCCTGAGGAGGCATCCATTGGTTAATCAGGGCTCGAAGACAGCAGATGGAGACCAGAACTGTTCCTTCCTTCATTTTCAAACCTGAAAGCTTGGATGATCTCCAGGCTGAGGATCCAAGACCTGCTTCAGGCTGTTCACACCACCTGCTAGATGTTTGCTATGCTTGTCACCCAGATACCTGAGTGTCTGAGGAAGTCATCTAACAGCCAGGTGACATTTATTTCGCACATGTACATGACAATATAACAACAGAATTTGCACTACTGAAGCAGAGCATGTTTGGAGGTATATTTGAATGAAGAACTTTACCAGGCAGAATGCTTTTGCTTTTAAAGATGTGTCTGTATTAATTCAACAGCTCTGTCAATGAGGTAAATTCTAATCGCTGATAAACTCATTGAAAGGCACAGTAGTTGAGCTCAACTGCACTGATTCAGTTCAGTCAACAAATTTGATCAGTAGCCTGGTAAAGTACAATCTAAAGTACTGCTTCCTCCTTTCCCTTACCTTAACGTATTCTTTCTCACACTGCGTCTTGCTGACATGAGAATAGAACCTATGTGATTTTATAGAGACCAGTCGTCCCCACGTTCCCCTGGATTTCCCTGGACGTTTACCTGTGAGAGTCTGGAGAGCAGATGGGCCACACTGAATCCACTCCTACATCATTCTGCAGATCTGGCGTTAAGACTTCCCTCTGAATCTGTTTTCTATTTTGTGCTTCTGTTTATGATATTTGATTAAAGCATTCCTTGGGAAAAGGGGGAACTAACAGGGAAAGGTGGGCTATATATTTAGGATCAAATCAATTAGTACATTTTAGATGACTTTAGAAATCTAAATATTTTGTAATATCATAATATTACATAACATAATATTATGTAATAGAAAAAAAATTTACTTTTATTTTCATGACATCACCCATTTCAGAAAAAGAAAGCATTGAATATGAAAATAAAATGTCTCTGGTGGATATTGGATCCACTTCCATCCCCAGCCTCTGTTCTGCTCCTTGTCAGAGCTGCTGAACATAGAAGACAAAAATCTAACTATCTCCTCTCCCTTCTGCGACGTGGTGGATGCAGGTTAGTTTCTGCCAAGGAGATGCCTCATCCTGAGGTCTGGAAAATGCAAGGCAGACAGCTGCACCGAGAGGGCCAGACCGGTTCCTGCACCCTGGGTACCATGTCAGCTGGACACGGCTCCCCCTGCGTGGTGTGCGTGGGGAGGCTGTGACTTTGGCCGCAGCATGGCTGTGGCAGCCGCAGCTTCTGACCTCAGGGTGACGTAAAAGCTTGGATATGAGAAACTACATGGCGGCCTCCCGATTTCCACTCCTCTAGCCTGAAGATTTTGTAAGCACTTAATCCTTGTATTAAACCCATTTTTGCCTAAAGTACCTAGAGCTGTTTCTGTTTCTTGCACTGAAACCTAACTAGAAAAAAAAAAAATGCCATTATACAGGGAAATGGTGTGTTCTGTGCAGCATTTTTGATGACACTGAAATGTTTATAGAATGAATCATCCCTGATGTTGATGCTCTGTTCCCTTGCTTCTGTCTTGTATCATCTCTATTTTTATCTTGTCCCAAACACAGATCTAAACATTGCTTCATATTCTTAAAGAGATCTCTCTCTCCCTCTCTCCTTCTCTCCCTCTTTCATTTCCTGCTCTCCCTCCTCCCCCCTTCTACACACACACACACACACACACACACACACACACACCAACGGCCCACTCTTTGGGTGTTCCTCTTAGATTTTTTTATATTTTCAAAGGCTTCCTGCAGTCATGCTCTCAGCTGGTGCTTTTCCTCCTTGTTCTACCTTCAGTCCATATTAGGTCTCCTTATTCCGCTAACACTTAAATACCTGCGAATTTCAATTTTCTCTCTTCTCTATCATTCAGAACAGTTCAGGTGTCCCAGCTTCTACACCCAACTCAAAAAAGCAAGTTCATTTCAGTAATCAGCAAAACAAAGGACAACCTTAGCACATTGAAGGCTTTTTTGTTTATTAATATGTACCTGACATCATCGTAATCTCTGCTCTACATAGCTTTTCCAAATTTGTCCTTTAAAAAAGCATAATTATCTTCCTAGCCAGAGAGCTGTTACAAAAACAACAACAACAACAACTTTCTCTATATAGTAGAAATGACTGACTGACTGTCCAAGATTTGTTTATGCCTTTCACAGTGGACAGTTGTTGATGAGAAATGGGTCTCAGACAGGGGTGACATCTCCTGGTATCCTTTATTTAGGTCAGCCTTAAAGCAAGTTTTGGCCAATGGGATATAAGATGCAGTGATCTGTGGGCTAAGATGGTTATGTGCCAGTGAGCATTCCCTATCCTCCCTTCTCCTCCTGAAATGACCTTGAAAGCCATGTGTTAAAAATGACTGCATTCAAAATTGAAGGTGGCAGTAATCCCTGAATGACTGTGTGGAGCAGAGTTCTTCCCATCCATGCCTGGCCACTTCATTACACAGTGGCATAAAGCAAGACACTTTTACTTAAGACACAAGCATTTGGGGAGTTATATGCTAAAGCAATGAGCCTTCCCGTAACTAATTCAAGGGCAATTTTTAATTTCAATACCTAATGAATGTGAGTATGTGCTTCTAGTCTCGACTATAAAGGCTAAGTCAACACTAATCAAAAGGATGTTACTAAAACACTGTTGAGAGGAAGAGATGATTGGATAAGTGGATATGCTGAAAAAAAAAATACCATCCCTTATCAAAACAAGCTTGTATTCTTCATAAGTAAAATTTAAAATATTTCTTTTTTTTCTATTAGATGACTCAAAAATTAAAACGCTAATATGTTATGTGGACCTAAATAAAGCAAATGATCTTGAAATTCTCACTTCCCAGAGCAATAAGTAGTATATTTTGAATTAGAACACAGTTTGGGAAATGATGACCTTTCAGCATTAGAAAACCTGTTGATATTCTGGGCCAGGTGGCTTGTGGCTGTGGCGCTGTCCTGTACATTAAAGGGTGTTAGCGGTGTGACCGGCTCCTTTCTACTAGATGCCAGTGACACCCTCCACAAGTAGTGACAATCCAAAATACCTGCAGACTCTGCTAAATGTTCCCCGGGGGAGGGTGGGCACAGAATCATCCCGGGTTGAGAACCACTGTTACAGAAGAAGGTGAGCATTATTTTTACACAAGCGGTTGGCATTTTTCTCACTTTGTTCTCTCTCTTGATAATAGTTCTTAATAATACAGCTTATTCTTAAGAGTTAGATTGAATTAAAATGTCTCAGTCAACCCTATCCAATTCTGTTTAAAACTTAAATTATACAACACCTGGCCTAGCCCTGTTCAAAATTTTAATGAGTGAATTGAATGCAAACATAGATGGTAAGTTTCTTACATTTACAGAAAACACCAAGTCTTGTGAAACAGAAAACGTACTCAATGACTGGGTTATGGTTTCCAAAGATTTCAAAAGATGGTATGGTGGGAAACTTAACAATTAATATTCTGATCCATGCTTTGGTTCTAATATTCAATAGCATATGTATGAGTAGGAAAGCAATTTATAGGAAAATGTATAGGTGTTAGTTCTGCAAAATTATAATGAGCTAATATTTGAGGCATTGGCTTACATTAATGCAGTATTGGTCTATATAAATAAGCATGTACTCTTCAAATCACAGACTGCGAGTCTCATTTGATTCTCCCCAACCCTATCTGGAGTATTCGTTTGCTTCTGTGGAGATTTTAGGGGAATGCTGAAAAATTAGAATTTGTAATCAAGGAGAATCGTTAAGAATGAGAAGACTTCAGGAATTATAATGTACCTAATAGGTTGCCTCATGGGGAAGTTGCCAGGACAAAACTAAAAGCCATAAAATTTACATCTCATAAAATGGACTAACCCGAGCATAGACAAAAAAAAAGAGTTGGTGAAAATAAGTAAGAGAAGTTCTTTTTCTTAATGTCCTTGACCCAACCTTTCACTCCAGATTTGTTGAGGGAACTGAAAACAGAGATCTGAGCCGAGCACCTGATCTGGTCTCCTTGGAGGTAACAGATGCATGGGGATACCCACACTCGACTGCTGTAGGCTTTCCAAAACCCAGAAGCTTCCTGCGGCAGAGAACAGTGTGGGAGAAGAGCCAGACATTTCTGTGCACCAAAATTATGTAGATCTCGGGGGGGGGGGGGGGGGAGAAAGAGAAAAAGAAAATCAATGTGATAATGAACCTAAAAGGGCGTTTTGGACCATGACAACCGATGCTGCAGCAGAAAGTGACGCTGGCCATATGCTTCTTACCTGGCAGAAAAATCGTCAGGAGACACCATCAATAAGCTTGGGACCTGCAGCCCGATGATTCAGCACACAGTGAGGTCAGAGGCTAAGTGAGGATCGAGACCCCAGGTCCCCACTCTTCACTCCAGAACGTGATATAAATCCTCCAGGACTTAAGTGTCCTAGCTGTGAATGATTCTGAACGGAGTGAGCTCCAACTTCAGAGAGTTTACGCGCAGCTGGCAGTGATGATGTTTATTTCCTCCAGGCGGCGTAGGGGCTTGAAATAGATTGGTACAGAAAGACAAAGTCACTTTTTGTACCCCTAAATTTTGTGACCTGTACGATTTGGACCCTCCGTTGAAAGCAGGGAGAGCTTTGCCCTTTACCTTGAATTGGTCTCTTGCACGTATATCTATTTACTGTCTGAGAACAGAATTCTGGGTACATTTGGGATCCAAGAACATCTTACTTGGGTTTCAACATTTTCCAGAATATACCCAGGTATTTCATTTAATATTAAAATAAATTATAACCTGGCACCTGTGCTCGACAGCCTATAAAAATTGTAATCAGCCCTGGCCAGCGTGGTTCAGTGGTTAGGGCGTTGGCCCATGGACCAGAGTCATGGGTTAGATCCCTGGTCAAGAACATGTACCTCAGTTGTGAGTTTGATCTCTGGCCCCAGTTGGGGTCAGTGCGTTGGCAACCAACAGATGTGTCTCTCTGACATTGATGTTTCTATCTCTCTCCCGTTCCTTCCCTCCCACTCTACCTAAAACAAGCAAACAAAAAAATCAATGGCAAAATATCCTCAGGTGAGGATTAAAATAGCAATAATTAATGGAATTGTTAACATTTTTACCATATTTTCCTTTCAACATTTCAATTTGAGGTTTCTTCTACTCTGTCCATTTGAACTTCAAAACCCTTTTTAGGAAGAGAGACTTTTTCACAGAGTCCCCAGTTTATTAGAATTACCCGACAAGCTTCAGGCATTGTTCCAATACGAGTGGGATGGAATGAAAGAGCTCCGGGACCACACTGTCCGTTCAGATCACAAACATTAGTGTGTGATCACGTCGCCTTCGTCTCAGGCAGAGATCAAGGAGGAGACCCTGAACAGGTAAAAGCAGACCCACAGAAGGGATTTTGCTTCCATTCACTGAGCCCAGCCTGTTTAATTTCCAAGGGGTGGGGTCGGATGGGGGGGGGCAGCGTGATTAGTTCCCCAGACCCCGGGCAGCTTCTGGGCGGAGGCGAGAGGGTGGGACTGAGAAGCAACACCTCGGGGCTCCAGCATCTCAGGGGGATGATTGGAACCCGAGTTGGAAAACCCCGCAGTCCTGCCTCTAGACTCCTTCCTATTTTCCAAACTAACGTCCCTGCTCCTTCGTCTGCCTTTTCCAACCATCTTAGAGTTCAACAAATACCCTAGGGTCCTACGCTCATTGATGGTGTTGTGTGTGTGTGTGTGTGTGTGTGTGTGTGTGTGTGTGTGAAAACTGAGGCTGAGTAATCTGACGAAGATCACTCACACAGCAGGTGCTCTGGCCACAAAGCCGATACTTCTCCATGATGCTCTTTCCACTTCTTATTAAATATTTCATTTAAACTAGGGAGGCTGATTGACCGCTCGGTTGGACGGTAAGACCTGGCAGTCAGAGTTTGTGATGCTAACCATCTACATTCTCCTGAGCTCCTTGGAGAGACTTCCTAACGTCAGCCTCTCTTCAGGCCCGGAGCAACAGTGACAATAACCAATATTAATAATTAATCTAAAAACAAATATTTATGGAACGTTTGGCAAATGCATGGTGAAAATACTTAGCTTGAATGAATTAGTTCACACAAACCTCAGAACAGCAAAGACAGAGCAGTGGGCACCAATACTACTGTCACTTGTAAATAAGGAAACTGAGGCAGAGAGGAATCATCAGATTCCTATAAGTCAGATTTAAGCTTAGAAATTGATGAAAAAGAGAAAAGAAAGCATCTCACCAAGAGGGGATGTGAGGCAGTCCCGAATGTCTGGGGGGGTCTGGTTGGCCAACACTCCTGGCTAAATCCTCTGATTTAGTTTGAATTGGACGGAGGCAAAAGCGCAGAAAAGACAGGGCCCAGGGCAACAGGTGTGCCCCAGGCACACACCCTGAGAGACCAGCAGAGCCAGTCTGAATCAGAACCATAAGACCACGGGCACTTTTTTTTTTTTTAAGAGATGTCATTTTTTTGTTGTTGTTGTTTGGTTTTTTGTTAATCCTCACCTGAGAATATTTTCCCATTGATTTTTAGATACAGAAGAAAGGAGGAAGGAAGGGAGGGAGAAACAGAAAAAGAGAGCGAAACATTGATGTGAAAGAGACATATTGACTGGCTGCCGCCTGTACGACCCTGACGAAGGCTGGGGATCGAACCTGAAACCCAGGTATGTGCCCTTGACCAGGAATCGAACCTGTGACCCTTTGGTCTGAGGACTAACACTCTAACCACTGAGCCAAAGTGGCCAGAGCTACAGGCACTTTCTTCTTGTACTTTTCTGGGCGCGAGTGATCAGGGCACCGCCTCGCACAGCGCCTGCTCCGAGCACACGCAGGCGATCTCCAGGGTGCGCGTCCTGTGGATTGTGGAGGGTGCTGAGCTCTGTGAGCTGATTGCCTGGCTGGCTCCCAGAGCATGAAGAGCTTCTCAGTCCCCCAAGCACCCGTTCCCAAGCGCACGTGTCCCCAGCCTCCAGCTCCTGCAGTGCAGGGGCGTCCCCAGCGTGCGATTCCTGCAGCACAGGTGGATTCTGTGCCCAGGACTGGCCCCGCACCCTGCTTCTCCAGTGCCCAGCTCCTGGAGATCATGAGGACCAACGCCATTCACCACCCAGAAGCTTCTCCTGGCATAGCTCTCAGGTGGTTTGGGGCCAGAGGGCCTCCAGGGATATACCGCCCTGTAAATAGAAGGTGACTTTTCCAAGAGCTCCAGAGGGCGCATTTCCAGAAAGTTCTGCCAGCGTGGCACCACGGCAACCTCTCTGCCATCCCGTGACCGTGGCTTTGCCTGTCCCAATAAGATCTGGATTCCAGGCTTGGAGGAGGAGAGAGGGGGTCTCTCTGGAGCACTCTATCTCGGCCCTAGAGAGAGTGATTGTTCCTCGTGGCTACCATTTCTATATTAATGACTCCAATACTGCATTAGGGCTGATACTTCTTTCTACGAAACGTCCTCTGACCAAATTCAAGCGTGGTTTTTAATGCCTGATTAGACCTTCACTGAAAGAATAATCCACATCTTTCTTCTCCGTTATCAGACAATACAGCATTCTTTATCAGAAAATGAGATGACTTCATCTCATTTCCCATGTAAATAATCTTTCTTGCCTTCATTTAATACTCATGAAGCAATCGTTTAGACTGGTATCCGAAACTTAATTCAGGACTTTGGAGTCAAATATTAAAGAGTTCAATTTTATGAACTGCTTTTCCCTCCTTGGGTTACAAATTAATATTGACCTCCAGGACCACAGCTCTGTGATTGCTCGTTGTTTTAAATAACCAATTTCATATGAAGCTCATTTCCCTCTCAAATCAAGAATACTATCAACCTGCAGAGCCATGGTTCCAGGTCAGTAATAACCAGATTGTGTTCTTCTAATGCACATCACTCCGATGAAATAAGAGGCTACGTACACCAACAAAAACTCAGCGAACAAATTCATCTTTTACACAGTGTAAACACTGTAAATCTTCCTTGTTCAAATTGGGCATCCATTGGTTTGACTCTAATAAAAAATAAAAAAAAAGTAGCAGATGTTCAGAGAAAAGAAAAAAAATGCATATTGACATGCTCAAAACAGTATCCTTCTCATTTTCACAGGTGAAAAAATCCCTCTGGAAATATCATCCTTCTTGGGTCTAAAGATCACATCATTGGGGGAGCGGAGGCCTGTTTCTCAAAGTACTGGTGCACGGGAACAATTCAAAGTGCGTCCTGTTCACACTTACAAGTTAACGGATAATATTCCTACATTGGAATGTATTAACCCCAACAGAAAACCTTCCATTACTGTTGTTCACATGTCCAATCTTTCTATGTCAATCCCCACATAAACACCACTTTCAATGAGGTTCAGTGGTGCACTGTGGTCCCTGGTTTAACTCCCCCGGTACCGTGACCCCTTCTTAGCTGACTGCAAATTCCACACATATGAGCGCTTCTATTTTAAAGCAAATGAATTTTATGCAAACTCATTTCCACTGTCACTCGATTAATTCCCCTTTAGCATTATAATCTGTTATATTTTTGGATGATAGGCAGAAATGAAATGGAACTTTTCTTTCTGATGGAGCTAAATCCATTAGTGAAACTTCAAATGATGTAGTTAAAAGGTCATTTTACTTCATTGTAATGTGTGTTCTTTTTTCTTCTTAATCTTAGAATTCAATTGTAGAGTCAGCATTTAAAAAAAAAAAAAAAACCCTTCTTGATGCTTAGTAACATTTTCTCTCCTTCATTGCAGGGCCTTTTTTCTTCTTTTAAATTCAAGCATTAGCTTTTAGGTGGCCCTAGTTATTTTTAACTTGGAATCTTGACAGATCACATGTTGTATAAAATTAAAGCAACAGCCCTGGCCGGTTTGGCTTAGCGGTTGGAGCGTCGGCCTGCAGTACAGAGAGACCCGGGTTCGGTTCCCGCTAAGGGCATGTACCTCAGTTGCAGTTAGTCCCCGGCCCTGGTTGGTCGTGCGGGTGGCAGCCACTCGATGTGTCCCTTCACATCGATGTTTCTCTCTCTCTGTCTTCCTCTCTCTCCCTCCCGCTCTATATGAACAAAAAATGGAAAAATATCCTCGGGTGAGGATAAAAAAAAAAAATTAAAGAAACATTTCTGATATGTTTGTAAACTCGACAAAAAAGTCCTATCTGTTCCATAAAAGTGGATTTTAGCATGATTACAAATGAGATGCTGAGATGCTACAATAATCAGCATCCACGTCAAGTGTGGGCGTGTCCACCAGGCGGGAGCTCAGAAAAGACCCCAAGAGCCTGAGAAGATCTAGAACAAGAAGAAGTGGAATGTGGTGGAGAAAAGTCTGTGTGGAGGTTTTCTTTGAGAAAGTTGTACCCCATAACTGAAACCTGCTGAGGGGCTCTCAAGGGGTCTACTCAGAATGTGTATGTGTGACTAGTGCAGGGCGCGTGTGTGTGTGTGTGAGTGTGAGTGTGTGTGAGCACAGCGGACTGAAGGCTGACTCTGTCCTATCAAGTCCACAGAGGAAGTCGGGGTGACCAA